GTAAATGGTGGTCAGATACGTACGCGATCATAGGATTGGGTGGTGCATGGTGGGTGGGGGGTGGAGGGGGTGGTGCAGACTGGTGCTGTTTGGGTGAGCGGGTGGTGCGGGGGGTTAGTGGCCAACGTTTCCGATACACGTGCGGGGTGGGGAGGGGGTGGTGCAGACTGGTGCTGTTTGGGTGGGCGGGCGGTGCGGGGGTGGTGCAGACTGGTGCTGTTTGGGTGGGCGGGTGGTGCGGGGGGTGGTGCAGACTGGTGCAGTATAGGCGGGGGGGTGGTGAAGCGGGGGGTCACCAGAACCGGCTATTTCATACTACTAAACGTTAGTTGAACCAGAATATTTCTTACCTGTTTAATTTTTTAACTACGGCCCTGATTGTTAATAATATTGCAATATTTTAATAATTGTACATGTACTCAACACTTGTGTGCAGTTTCACCATCAAATAATTATGTATTTAATTTATCGTTAAATTTTTCAGGGTACATATATTACATCAGGGATTGACGTGAAGAAATTAGAAGATCATAACTTTCCCAAAGTGTATTATTATGGAAAATATAAAGTGTTGTATAAGATGAGAAATGTAGAAAATCAACTAGTCGGCTGCCTGGCATTCGAGTTGAATCTTATACGACCGTGGGAAACCCCAATTTGATTAAGTTTTACAAAATAATAATAAAGCCCACCTTTTGTCATAATTGTTATGTCTTTCAGTATATTTTGTACTCATTGCCTGATACTGCAGGTGCGCACCCAGGATTTTTGTTTGGGGAGGGAGGGCTTAAGTCTTACTTTTCTTACACACAACTACACAAGTAGACAATTGCCACTAATTTTTAAATAATAATTTTTCTTTTAATACTACCGCATACCTTATACTACCATAGGCAAAAATCGGGAGGGGGATTAACCCTCCCCCCACCAAAAAAAAATATTGTAATAGCCCCAAAAATTATGTCGTGTTTCATGTGAAAATATATGATATAAATTTACTAATTAAGTATATAGTATATTATATAACTATAAAAAAAAATGAAATATTGGAAAGGATATTGTAAAACATACTGACAATGATTGCATAGTTAACAAATTTGCAAAAAAAATAGAACAATTGTGTTGCAATAATTTGAATAAATTATATTTTTTTAATGGTCTTTTGTTGTTGTTTTTATGTGCATGTACAGGCTGTTAAAATGTAGTATGATTCAATTTAATTAAATATGAGACGCAACGAGGTTTATGTTTCAATTTCTATTATATTACCTATTTGAATAAGGTTTTTTTTAGTTTATTAACTAAAGCTAACTAAGTCGGTGGGTATTTTAGTACAAACACATATCTTACAAGAAAAACTGTCACACTCTGTAGGATATACGGATTTTGTTGAAAAAAATTTTTCTTCAGGTCGGACCTATTTTCAAAATTATAATAATTATAGAAGCTAAAATATGCATTTGAATAATACACAATATTTGTTCTTTTTCAAACGTATTTTTTACCACTATTTAAAGTAAAGTAAAATAAAAATTCAACATTTAATCCGACCTGAAATATGTACTTTTCTATACTAAATGAAAAAAAAAATTAACAAAATCCGATTATTTTACAGGGCGTGAAAGTTTTTCTTGTGAAGTCATTTTCGTTGATATAATACACCGTATCGACCCCCTCCCTAAATATATATCGAGCTGTAGATTAGTAGAAAAATATTATAATTAAAGTAGTAGTAACTAAAATATAAAATATAATTTTTAAATTGTATAGAATTTCGGAAAATTGGAAAAACCGGCACCGACACCCTTAACTATTAATGTGTATAGTAATACAATTTGGAAAAAAAACATAATCATTTATCATTGTAATACTATATTTGTAACGATATAATATAATGTATAATTTGATGTAAAAAATATTTATATTTGGGGAGGGGCTTCAGCCCATAGCCACCCTGAATGTGCCACTGCCTGATAGCGATATCATACAGCGCATGCAATTATTATTATTATCTTATAGTTACTACTTACTACAGAAGTTAAAATAAAGCGCTGCTGGCTCATACCTAAGCCAAAGGTAAGGTAAGGTGTAACTTAAAAGTGTTCAGTCCTACATCAATAATAAAAATATTGTAAAAAAACAATGCACAAGCTCAGAAAATGTTGTTAACTTTAAGTTTGATAAATGCTAACAGTTTGTCAAAATGTCCAAAATGATACATGCAATTTTAAAACTATATCAAAGTTAAACTTAGACTGAACGTAAATTTTAGTTAAAATTGCTGTTTTTTTACTTTCAAGACTGATACAACAAAATAATGATGGTCTCATTAAGCCTTGTTTCACCGAAAACGGTGAAAAGTGGTCCTTCGATACACTATATAAAATTCTGTGATGCTGAGCAGTCTCACATTTGAATATTGTGGGATAGGTTTGATTGAAGAAACAACAATTGATTAGAATTAGTTCTATAATATATTTAATTAAATGATGTATTTTTTTATATTATAATATAATATTAATGATACAAATTTATTCATATTACAGATTGGAAAATTTAATAAGGATTTACTATTGTAATATATTATTATTACACGCTATCAGCAAAATTATGTAAAATCCTCTATATTAATATAATCTTTAGTAATTTAGTACTATTCTAATTATACTATTATATGTAATTTATATTTTATAAAATGTATTATTCTTTAATTGGGCGCAGTTATGGTCCAATATTTTTTTTCCTTACAAAATAATAATAATGATATTATGCTATTATAAAATGTTTCATCAAAACAAATCAATCTTTCTATAGTTTAAAAAAGTAATAACTAATTGGCATCAGAATAAACAAAATATAACATATTTTATTCCTTTAATCTAACTGCTTTATTTTATCAGAATTTTACCTTATTCTATTGTATTATCTATAAGTACCTTTACATTAATTATTGTTACCGACATTGTATGTTTTATTTAATATTGAAGTTTAAAATTTTAAAAATGTATTCTGTATCAATATGAATGTATATTACAATTAAGACTTATATATAATTATATTTTAAATTCTTAATTAATATGGTACATATTATTGTAAATTGTGAACTCATGGGCGCCCACACGGACCTTTTCAGTGAGGTCCATTATCTTTTCCAATGAATAAACAATAATATTTGTTTGGTTAAATTTAATTTGTTTGAGTTGTCTGATGTTTTTATTCTCAGATTTTATACATCATATAAAATGTGAGATTGAGTATTAATTATTTATTTAGTTGTTCTTCTACAATTTGAGTAGATGGAAGACTGATTATTAAAAATAAGTTGTTTATTATTTATTACTTAGGTACTGTAAATTTTAATGAAATAACTGTCTCAAACTAGTTATTTTGCTCTTTTATTTCCTATAATGTATAAATCACTTATAACTTATGTGAAAAAAAAAAACAATAAATCATTAGAAATATAGAAAATAATACTATAGTGAAAACTGTCTAATGCGGAACCTGAATAAAACGGAAAACTATAAACGACACATGCAGGTATAACGTCCTCTTAAAGCGGAATTTTTGTTGGTCCCATGCTATTCCACATTAGACAGTTTTTACTGTATTGTACAATTGTATGACTTATTTAACTTTCCTAATTGTATTGGGAGAATTATATTTACAATAAGCTTATGTCAATAGTTGAATTTATAATAAATGTATAAATATTATTTTTTAATTAAAAAATTGAAGCCACGTTAAAACCATTTTACAATTAAATATAGAATTTTTTTAAAAATGTATACACCATTTAAAATGTAATTAATGTTATATTAACAAATTTGTACATGCTTTGAAAAATAATTATTAAGTTATTTTTTTTTTTTTTTTGTCTTTAGTACTGATCCAGACCCTGCAAATGGCTTAAATCCTTCTTGATTTCCATCCTGAAATTCAAAATAATTAAGTCATTAATATAACTTGCATTATATAATTTTACTTCAAATTACAATATAGTAAAATGCTAAATTGATTTCTTTTAAAGATAAGAAATACCCATTAATTCAACAACTCAATTCTACAAATGTGTGTGGTAATCAAGATGACTGATTTCTGATCAGTATGTTTGGACACCATATATCTAAATCAGTTTTCGTTAAGGACATTTAAATTATGTATTTATGTTGCACATGTGCAGCATTACTGGCTCGTGTATATGTGTATAAGTGCACGTGCACTACCTACCCAAACTCAAGAAAAATTGAATACATAAATCATAATAATACAACTATACTCTATTCGGAATGAGATAGTACCTCGGTGGCGAACAGTTTTCGTCCGGCGGCGGTCAGACATATGATTGGACGCAGTCCTCACTACGACGACACATTGGGAGCTGCCACGGAACAAAGCCACGCTCATGCGCACAACTTGGCCGCCGGGGTACAATCTCATTCCGAATAGAGTATAAGTACTTATAATGTTAATAATATGATGTTTCAAAATAGAAAAATAAAAATACAGAAATTCAGAATATGAAAATAATATAGTATTTAGATTGGGTAATTTTGAAGGCCAAACAGCCGGGTGGTTGTCAGCGACAGAATGGTATCTATATGTATAATAGTGCAGTAGGGCACACAATCGCTGTTCACATTTATACAGTATATTAAAATAAAACAAATCAAAACATGAAACTGCGTTATAATCATTGATAATAAAGGCATGGATAGCACATATCGGTAAAGAATGAAATGGTTGGATTGGATGTCACATTGTAGCGCATTGCCATTATAATTTATTTTTACTATCATTATTTTATTATACTCCAATTATTAGCTGATAATGTTAATCGATCTTTATCATAAATTCAAAACAACAATTATGTTTCTATTTCAAAGATATTTAATATTATATTATTTTGTACTCTGTAGTTAGAACTTGGTCATAATATACAGTAGAATCCGCTTAAAGAGGACGCCACTTAAAGGGGAGACCTGCTTAATGGGGACATTAATGACAGTCCCGAATGAATGTATTGTATGTAAAATTCTTCGGTTAATCGGGACAGTCGGGATAATGGGGACAAATAGGTCACCGCCGGATGTGTCCCAATTAAGCGGATTCAACTGTATTAATAACCTGTGAATTTAATACGTACATCAGTATACAAATATAAACAAAATAACAGGTAAATTACTAAAATCTGTGTACAAATATTTAATACAATCTATAATATTAATATTAAATTTTAAGCTATATATTGTAATATTGTTACTGTTCCGTTATTGTTCATAATAGTAGTATATTATACTTTTTGTAATTGCCGTTTGGCGTAAATAAAATAAAATAACATAATATTAGTTATATTTGTTTTGGATGTGCACTACTTTATAAAAATCCCTAGAGCAGTGAAGTACCAGTGTGAAACAGATTACAAGATTTAATTTAATATAATAATTATAGTTATTTAATATAATTCTAATGTACGTGTGTATGTAAGCGAACTCCTCCTAAACGGCTGGACCGATTTTGATGAAATTTTTTGAGTGTGCTTTAGTGGGCCCTAGAATGTTTTAGATTCACAATCGGAAACAGTAGGCCCATTCCGCGGAGGTGCTCAAACAGGAATGTTGAGATTTATGGTGGATATTTTTGTTTATAAATGGTTGCCATGGGTTTTGAAACTATTATAATAATAATTATTGGTTCCGTGAAATCAGTGTATTCATTCAATGAATTTAATTTTTTTTACTGTGTTTTGATATTATATGTATTGCAATTACGTAAATATTGAGCGTATTAAACTCACATATAAGTTACGTACATAAAGCAATGAAACATCTTCGTGGATGAGGAGGAAATATTGGACTTAAATACTTGGACTCAGCATTCACAATTAGTTCAGCCGTTTAGGAGGAGTTCAGTGACATTTTGGTGTAACTTTGATACTTTAGAGTCAAATTATAAAGTTACCTACAAACAACAAGGGTTCCTACTTGATAATATACTGCTGCGAATCAGAATTTTTATTCCAGGCAACAGAAAAGTTAAGATAAATATTGAACACCATACACCGAATATTAAATAACGAATTAAGCTTGAGTCATATAGAGTTGGTACATTTAACGGGAAACAAAGTGCACGGGATCAGCTAGTTATTTATATATTTAAATTTAGTAATTACCTCTTTGTCATTAGTCACAGGGCGGATATTCCTTATGAACTGTATAGTTCCTATGTTATAATCATAATCTGGAATACCTCTCTGGTACACTGGTTTAACTTGATTTGATTGATCGTCAGAGTTGTCTTTCTTTTTTTTTCCGTCTAATCGATTGCCCGACCCTTTGAAAGCTATGAAACCAGTTGGTTCTGGCATTAAATCAGCAGGATCAACCATCATATCTTCTGCAGCAGGTTTTTTTTCATGCGTAGGTTCCTGATAACCAACTGGTGCGGCAAACTCAACATTCATATCACATTCAATGATACTAACAGCGTTACCCGGTTTTGTTTCTAACACACACATTTCATAAACTTTTTGGTTGTACTTTATTGCTATTACATCACCAGCAGTCAGACAAGCAAAATTGCGCAAGCAATTTTCTAAAACAGCCTTTGGGTTAGTAATATCTAGGAATTCAGAATTTTGAGGTTGGAACTTTGAAAAGGTGGCTACTTCTAATGAAACACTTTCAACTTGCACCATATCTCCTTCATCTAGCAATAGGTTTTTCATCATCTAAATAAAATACAGTTGACAGCACACATGAGGGTTACAATAATTATAGAAGCAAATCTAGTTTGGTTTCCATACTGATTACTAAATTTTTTTTAAGAAGATGTCAGCAAAATATTTATTTTCTTTCTCAGACCCATGTGGCACATAGATAAAATTTACTCAAGTATAATCAAATTTGTTTTATGATTTTTGAATCATATTTTTATGAAGAGTATGACATCGATTTCTCTAAATATTGTCTCAAAATAAAACAATGTACATTTAAATTGGGGAAAAAATGTATATTCAAAGTTGAACATACAGTTAAACAATAATAAAATACAATACCAATATATCAAACCCTAAAAAATATTATCCCAAATTGTGTAATAGATGATTTTAATCTACATATTAATATGTAGATTAAATATGGGTTTGATATATTGGTATTGTTTTGTATTTTATTATTGTTTAACTATATATTCAACTTTGAATATACATTTTTTTTCCAATTTAAATGTATATTGTTTTATTTTGAGACAATATTTAGAGAAATCGATATGTCATACCCTTAATAAAATTATTCTAAATTATTTTTATAATGGGTGATTTTATTCTAAGCTAACTTAAAAACAAAATGAAAATAATTTTAGGTGATTGGGTTTTTCCTATGTCGTGCGAAGAGAGAAAAAACAAACAGTGTGCTGACATCATCTTAAATTGATTAAACTTATTTTAGTCAAAACGGGTAATCTTAATTCAAAACAAATCCTACACTCATATAAAGACTTTATTGAATTTCAGTTAAATTGATTCATTGCACACTGAAATAATTATAGATTTATGATTTTATCACTGTGTGTAGATTTAATATGAATTTATAAAAAAATAACAGTGTGGAATCTCAACTAGATTTCTGTATAACATTAAGTGAGATATAATTAATATAGTCTTAATAAAGATACTTATTTTGAATACATAAGTTTATAGTCAGTACAAAAAGTATTTGTAGATACTTTCAAATTTTTTATAAATATTTTTTTTACCTTGTAAATTAACATAACTGATTTACTCATGATTTGCATTGATTTTACATCGCATCATTTTGTTTATAATATTATATTTATCTGTTATATCAGTCGTATTTAAATTTTCAGCTGAGTATAATTTACAGTAAAAAAAAATATATTATTGTAAATTTTTTATTTTACTTGATTAAAATAAAAAGATAAATGTATAAATATATAAACTAAAAAGAATAAATATTTGAAAATTAGTATTTGATTTGATATACAGATTACAGATACTTTAATCCCATTAGATATATTATTTTTATTGGATCATATAAAAAAAAAAAAAAATTCTGAGGAATAATGAAATTATGTATTATTTTGTATAATACAGAATAATGAAAACGGAATCAATATGGTGCTATCTGTTAGTGAAACAAGTTTTTTGGTCTTTAGCTAGTACCCTATTTACAATTTAGTGTTTAACACAAATACTTTTTCTCAAGTACTTTACAAGACTAAATGTATATAAATATATTTTTAACTTATACCCAATAAGGAATATATATTTTTTCTTCATCTGCGATGAATTCCAATACACCACAATGTGTTTGTCTGTTGGATCTTTTGTTAGTTAGCCTGAACAGCATCGGGTAGTTGATATTTAACCGGGTTAATATATCCAGAGCAGACGGGGGCATTATAACTGAAATTATTGTTATGAAAAATTATAATATAATATAAAAAAATAGAAAAGTGACTTACTTTTTCCTCCGCGTTCAACATCTTCTCTTTCGCTTCCAGGAAGCATTGACACCGACCAGCATCTGTATGTCGTGTTGAATGGTCGGAGTATATCATTGAATAAACTCAAGGAAAACTGAAATATATTTAAATTAGTTCAACCACAGTTCAGAGCATGTACCGTGACGGAAAATTAACAGCTTCCTTACCATTGTTTTTCAGTCGATTGTTGTGGACTATTGTCAATGAATTATGTTATTATATTATAGAATGTTTTGCACGCAATCAACCATCAACATATGTTAAAATTACCTGGTGAAAATACAAATTGTGATGTGAAGTCACAAGATGGTAGTGACCACGGTTAACTGAAGAATTACTACAGATAATAGTAGATTTAATCTGTATATTATGGATAATAGATCATCTATAAACCTTACCTTATGATGTCTTCTTGTTGTACGCGCAGCTGTCCAACGATGAAGGAACACAATTTGTACACAAATATTATGGTGGCTACCTATAATATTATCACACCATTAAAAAGTTAAATAATTATCGTATTTCAGTATTAATTGTACACACTACAATCCACCACAGGGCACAGAATAGAATAAAATCCATCGATCTTAAACACATGGATACGACATTCCTATCTTACATACGCTTTTCGTCAAATATAATGAGCCATGAGGAGAAACGATGACTCTCAGTTTTCAGTCGAAGAGATCAATCTCCCGAGGTACAAAGAAACCAACTAAAGAGTGAGATGTAATGACGTTGAGGTTAACAATGATATCAGTTGTGTTCGCCAACAGATTTGTATACAAAGTCATATCCATTAGTTTAATATTAATGGTACAAAGTACAGACGCTTCAAAATTATTGTATAAATAAAATAATTATAGAAAAATATCTATATATTATTATGTAAAATATGTAATTACTATACCCGAATATTAATAATTAATGTTTTGGCGACCAATTTGTGCGGACGCTGGAACGAATGGAACCACTACCGTGTTTCGTCTATAAGGCTTTGTCCAATACTCCCATGCTTTGTCCTATGACGTCGTCTATCGCTTACATTGATATTATCATGGTTTGTGTACAACAATAACAGATAAGTGATAAATTGATAACGCAATAACGTGATAATCACTAACTTGGTCGTTTTCGAAACTAACTGGCATTAAAAATTGCCATCACTCGTTTGGTAGTAAGTTAATAGTTAGTTGCTTTATTCAAACATCGTGTTAATGTCATGGAAAAAAAATGAAAACACCTTATGGATACTGTGACTTACGCGTCGAGAGAGTGAACGACGACATTATCGATGCATACATTAAACGTGAGTAAAACAATTGTTTTTTTATTCAACCCGTATAGAAGCCATGATAAATATATATAATATTGTAAGCTCATCTGTCGATGTTGTCGGCACTAATTATTTTTTCAAAATGTGTTTTTAACCTCCAATAAGATGTCAGCGGTAATTGTCACAATATATATAAATATATTAAAAGAAAATAGGGCCCCTTGATTATTTGGCCCTCGTGAGCATGGGTTGATTTTGGTTCGTAAACCCACCTCCTCCCCATCAGAATGGACCAGAGCCTAACAGTTATTGTCTTCTTTCACATGCTAGTTAGGTGTATCGATTCCTAGTTTTGTGGTTAAAATCATATTAAGTTGATCTGTTAAGAAAATTTTGATGCAGTACCCTACTTACGTAAGGGTTTTTTTAAATTATCTAAACATTAATGAAACTATTTAGTTTGTCATCTTATTTGTTTTCAAATAAAAATGATAGTTTATAAGAAATATAATAATTATCTAATATATATTATATTATATATAAGATAATATTACTTACTCACTTATTCATCCCAATTTTTCAAACTTATGAACTTTAAATTTGGAATAGTTAGTAGTTCTTTTAATGATCTATGTGCAATGAGAAAGAATTTTCCGGTATTCACATTTTAATAAGGTGGTCAAACAGAATATAACTTTGTTAACTCCACGATACAATAAAATTGTTACAAAATATATTCATATAAATATATTTATTATTAACTTTGTACCTATTTTATTTTTGTAGTACCTTAGGGTAAAATCATTTATATACTCTATATATGGATTGATTAATAAGACTGTTATAGACTGGTATTCATTTTAGCCTTCATTTTCACTTAAAACAATTAATTATAATAAAAATAATTGGTAGTTAATTTTTCATCCTACAAAGGAATGAAGAGAGTGATATTATAAATTTGGTTCTGTATGTTGTCTTATTCTTTTTTATCAACATATTTCATTGAAGTTCTATTTTTACTTCTATTGGGTAGAAACCTTACCACTATAATTTAACTTTCATTCTATGATTAACATGGGCACAATTTGGAAGGGGACTTGGAGGGGCTTAGCCCCTCCAATATTAAATTTAGCACCTCCAAGAAATTGTATTTTAATCAAATTTTAATTGAACTATTAATTATACAGTAATCGTTTGTTTAAAAAATTATTTTATACAGTTTAAAGAACGATTCATTATTCTCGTGTTTTCCATAGTAAAATACACAACTTTAATACCTAATTAATACCTCACTATTAAAAAATGTTGAAAAAAAAATGTTAAAATGCATATTAAAGCATATAATGATGTTTATTGATTATTTTTGCATATTTTTAAAAATTTGAAGAGAATATAATGAGAATATTTGTAGTTTTTTTAGAGAATATTATCATCTTATTTTATGAGAATATAAATCCGGTCTTTACTGATAACTTTTAAATTTGTCTAGAATATAGTCGATACTCAATAGTAGTGTTTTTTTTTATTATAAATTTATAATTTAGAATAGACGGGTTACAATTATAATTTATAATACAATATATATAAGTACCTAATTTTTTTTACTAAAAATATTTTTCAGTTTAGTAATAAATAAATATATATATATAAACAGTAGTACCTAATATGTATCTTAATGTGGGAAAGTGGTTGGGCGAGAAAAAAATATATATTATGTTATATGATATTAAAATAAAGTAATTTATTTCAAATTTATTTTAACATGGAGTAAAGCCATCCATGGGTTTGTTTCATTTAAATATGTAAAGCCGCTCCAAGTCAAAAATTGGAATTGCGCCTATGATGATTTATAAAATCTTGAATAATATATACACCGCTAATGAATAACGATAATCCCTAACTTCATAACATTGCAATATCATACAATCATAGTTTTAACACCCATTATTGCCTGTGCACATTTGTTAGATTCAAACATAAGTAACTATGGGTTAATCATAATTTAATGTTATATAAATAGTCGACTAATAATAAATATGTTATTATTGGTTGAAATATATGATTTTTTTTAAATTTATGGAATATTTTATTCACAGATGGGTATGCTTTGATTGCTGTAAACACTACAGTGAATTGTTTATTACTAGGCAATGGAAGTTCAAACAAAAAAAAAAGAAAATTTGCAGAATGTAATGATGAAACTGTTGAAGAAAAAGACTGGGTGCCTACACCCAAGTTAATTAATGTGAGTATTGTGATTTATTTTATGTAGATGGTATAATTTCTACTAAGGCACTCAATTCTATTTTCATTTTGTCATAAATAATCTGAGCTGATATCTTTATCATAAATGTTAATTGGCATTATTTATTAAACTATATTTGTTTACAGCACTATTATAATTAGTTTTATATTAAGTAGCCAATAGGGTGAATCAGGAAGTCACAATAATAAGAATGATTGAATAAGTACTACAATAACATTGTAATTTGTAAATCAAAGAATTTTTATGGCTGTATAATAGTATTATTGTGTATGGTTAGGTTAAACTTTTGATTTAAATTTCATATCTACCGCCTCAGTTTACCCTACTTAACTTTTGTATTTTGAAAGCAACCTTGTTTTCTTAGTTTAATGAATTATTGACATGGCTTAGAGATATTATATAATTAACACCTTTAGAATTAAAATAAAAAAAAAAAATACGAGAGTGTGTGAACCCAATATTACACTCTGGGGAAGTAAAACTTCTTTCATTAGTATCGTTGAAATTATAAGTGAATTAAGGAGTAGGTAAGCAAAATTAATACAATAAAAATAAACGTGCTGCGGCCATTAAGGCAATCGGTCAAGTAGTTTCCGAGAACATTAGCATCAAAAGTTTCAATTTTCGTGTCGTTTAATTTTCCGTTACAATTTTTTTCCATCCACACCTCATGAAAGAAGTTTTACTTTAAAAAACCTTTGTTTAATTATTTATGTTACAAATGGATCAGCTGATCTTATATAATAATACCAATAATATAATTTATATATTTTTTTTTTAAATTCAAATTAATTGTATTATATTTTTATTTAGGATAATGACTCCAAATTGACCATTCTGAATCGATTAACAATTCAAATAACAAATATTGGACAACTACAAAAAATTGTAAGTAACAAAATAAAACAATGAATATACTTCCACAAATTAATTACTAAAGTATTACTATATTAACCAATTGTATTATTTTTGTATTTTAGATGAGTTCTCCAAATTTCAAATTGTATAATATTCTAGCAGTAGAACCATTAAATGATAAAGTTTTTCAGGTATGAATATTAAGTCATAATTATTAAATAACTATATTACTTATTAATATGTTGCCTTTAGGACCAGCTCCTGAGGGACTGTTTGAACTTTATATTTATTATTAAGCACTTAATTTTTATCTAAATATAAAAGCAACTGTATTTAATAATATTCAGGCTCGGATCTATGCATCTGAAAAAAGAGAGTAGGTACATTTTTTCAAAAAGTATATAATTATAATTTTAGTAATTACATAAATATAATAGATTATAATAGATCATAATCTAACATTTGATAATACTATTAACAGTTTTATTTATATTTTTAATTTATGGATTTTGAGATATGAACTGTTTATTATATATATAAATAATAAAATAAATCCCCTTACCTCCCCTATTTATTCGTGCCTGATAATATAAATCTTTAGAGTTACTATTAATAACCTGTATTATTTTTATTTGAAAATTCCAATCAAGTTATTATAAATTTTTTTTTTCACTGTCGCAAGTAAAAAGTCCGTATCTATATTTTACAATTTTTTTTTCAAATTGTAACTTTTTTTGTAGTTCCCGCGAAGACGGTAGTAACTATATTTTAATATATAAAACGTCTGTGGTTGTTTTATGCTATCAGTTGTTTTAAAATAACGATTTTGCATATATATTATAAAGTACCTATTCGCTTGATTGAAACGGTTACAAATAAGGCATCATGGCATTCCATCGACCTGCAAATTTAAAACTTACAGCCAATTTAAATTACAATTTCAAGATTTTCAAACAAGAAATTAAAGTATACTTTATGGCAACTGAGACAAACACCAAAATCCAAGAAGTTCAAGTGGCAAGATTACTCAATTTATTGGGACCAAATGGTTTAAAATTTATGTTATGATTGTGGACAACCTCTTGCTCACACAGGTAGTTCTAGGAGTTAATGACAAAGAATTACAGTCTAAACTATTAAGAGAAGATTTACCATTGATAGAAGTAAAACAAGTCAACATCAACACAAAGTAAAGAACAATGAAAATAGAAAATATGCTGAATGGAGTGAAGGCAATGCCGAGGGAAAATGTGAAGATGAGGATAATAAAACAAAAAATAGAGACGAGGAGTTTGTATCTAGAACTAGAAAAGGACGTACAATTAAAAAAGTAATAAGATATGAGTAATGATGATTATGTTTATACATATAAAAAAAAAACTTTTGATTAAATTATGTTTCTTATTCTTATATTTAAATATATTAACTTTTTATTGTGTTATTGTGTATATTACGTAAACATCAATATTAAACAAATTATGAATATTACTATAAGTTTTAATACTAAGTTGTTTTCTCAATTAATTTTGTATTTTATTTCTATCAGTTTTGGTTTATATAATAGTTTTACTATGTCATTTTTTGTTTAAAAAATTGTTTTTAAAAGTGGAGATGTTGTATAATTATTACTTACAATTTACATTATTATTAGTTACAGCGGTAACACTTCTTATTATCATATGTGATAAGAAGCACATAATCATCATTTATCAAGATGATTTTCATCAGTTGTGAAATATACTTAATATTTTATTACTTAATTATTATTAAAATAAATCAAATTCATTGCAATATTAGGTGTTGTTCAATAATTAATTATTCATACTTTTATTAGTATTAAAATAGTAAATAAAACACTACTTGTCACATTTTAATACAATTTGGTTATAATATATATTTAGTTATTATTTGTTTTCATTTTTTAGGACATAGTCACTTCACCATCAGTAGATATAATAACTTGTAACATGAAAACATCTATAACTCCAAAGGACTACACAATCGCAGTTGAAAAAAACATTTATTTTGAAATATCCTATTGTCCAATGTTATTTAGTTCTAGTACACGTCAAGATACTTTTACTTTAGCTCATCTACTTTATATTAAAGGAAAATCAAAAGTAAAATAGAAATTTTTTATTTTAATTCATGTAACTAAAATTTTCTCCTGTTTCAGAACTTAATAATTACAAGTGGGGCAGCTAATAAACTAGACATACGCAATCCTCATGACGTGATGAATTTGTATCCTTTGATAGATTTTAAATTTAATAATAAATTAAAAATGTTGAAACCTTCAAAGGATAATTAAAAACCAATTATCAAGTATAAAACAGTGGTCAAAATGGACTGGAACGCATAGGAACTACGAGTCGAGTCACAAACGCCCAAAAAATAAAAACAACATACTAAGCATTGATGAAATGATTATAAACTCTTAATTGTTTAGATAATAAAAAATTTTTTTTGCTTAGAATATATGTTTATATTTGATTGTAAACATAAATTAAATTAGTTTAAATTTAAAATTAATATGAATTAGTCATAATCACATAAGGCATATTCATTTTATAATTGTTGCAGTTCATAACATTTTCCATTTCGAGCACCGGAATTAAAATAAACCATTGTCTTATATTATAATAAGTAAATATTTTATTTTTATAAATACTCTTGACACTCAAAGTTGTTGGTATCTATCCATATTTTGTAAACTAAACTAAAAATATTCCAGTGTAATAGGCATGTTTATTGTTATTCGTTAGTTTTAATAAATATTTCTTGACTTCGAATTCAGAGGTATTTTACTAGGTCTTTCAAGAAAACAATCAACCAAATCAGTCACTCAAGGATGTTATTCAATTATTTTAAGGAGCTGTATGTTCCATCATTCACTATTTTATTAACATTATATTATAAATAACATAAACTATGTTTTTCAGATGGGCGGAAATTAGGAAAGTCTGCAATACATTTGAAACCAATGAACAGCTCTTAATATTAATTTTTATTATAAATATAATAAAAAATGTTTATATAATAACATTTTATAATTTTAATAAAAATATTAAAACAATTCGTTAGATGTATTATTTATTTGATATTAAATGTTGAATGTATTATATTTATAATATTAATTAATTAGGTATGTATAATTATTTACAATTTATAATTTTGATAGTTATGCCATTTTATGGCTTAAAAATGGCCGAATTATTTAAAATACATAACACAAATTATTTCATTGATGCATTCTTTGATTAAATGGTTTTTCGAACTTATATCTGGCTATAAATTATGGAAGTTTAACTGTAAAATTCTGGTAGTAGTATTGTGTATAATACACACACTACAAAACATATTCATTTTTAAAAATATAAATAATGGTTAGCAATAATTATTATGTTGAACCTAATTAGTAATTTAACATAGAAATCAGTCATATTTAAACCAGACACTATACGGGGTGATACTTTTATCATTGAACACTCATTATTTCAAAAAGTAATAATGTTTTTGAAAATATTTTTTTTATAGTTTCAAGTTGTTAAAAAACAACGTTTTTATTAATAAAATATTTTTTATCCTTATAATTTTTAAAGTTTTTTACTTTTTTGAATGACAACATAGAGTTTTAATTTCATATTCCAAGCAGAATATTTTTTTAAGAAGTAAGAAAATTGTTTGTTTTGTAAAATTTGAAAAATTTGAAATTCTCATGCAAGTTTAATTAATTTTCAGTGCCGTAGCTTGAACTAGGTAGGCCACGGGGCAAATTTAATCTGTGAGCCCTTGTTGGTAGAATTACATCATAATATTTTAAAATTTATAAAATAAGTTTTTGTGTGCGACGTGTATGTACGGTCTTTTAACACAATCCGGTCTTCTCACTTTGTGGCGGTGGCAGCAATAAAGGTATATATTTAGCGAATTTTGTTACGGCACTGGCCCTTTATTTAAATCAGTGGCCCCAGCTTGGCCCACCCACACAAACAAATCTGGTGCCTCCACTGGAATACATCTATATAGGGTACGTAAAGATACATATAAAAAAGTCATTCTGCTGTACAGTAGGTTACAAGTGGGTCACTGTAATGTGTAATGGATGGTGTTAAATTTGAATTCAATGATATAATATCATTAGATAAGAAAAACGATTCTGAGGGAAAACGGTCAGTCAGCCTATGATATTACTAAGTAGGTATATTTGATGATAATATTGTGAATAAAGTAATTTATATATTATAACCTATTTAGTATTTACGTGAAACATTGTTTTAAATTTTCAATCTCTAGCTATGAAAGTTTAACTTTTTATAAATTATTAACTACCAAATAATTATTAAATTTTAATTTTGATAAATTTTGTCGAAAAAATTAAAAATTAAAAAAAAAACACATCATTGTAAAATCAATACATTCATCGTTTCACTGAGAATCTAAAAACTATGGATGATCTATAGGATAGACATCGGGTGTCTGGGCCGTGAGATACTATATTTTGTCATTCAAAAATAATGCTGCTAAATATTTTATTAAAATAATTTTATGAAGTATTATATTTTTGTAGGACATTTTTTTTTTTTTTATTATAAGTACCTATAATAATTTAAATTTAAGATATAAAAATTAAAATACTCAATTTTATTATTAATTTGTGTTAATAATAATGATTAAAATACTTAAATTCACGCGGTAATTATTTGAATGTTATCTTATCACCGACTTAGATATCATTAGAATGCATTATCAACAGTGGCTCCGTAAAGCATAGTAAAGTAATAGATACTTGCCAGTTTACCACCGGATCTATTGCATTTGTAGGCTCGTGTAAATCTTTACTCATTACTACCTAATTAAACTAAAATAATTTTATATAGTCATGTCCTTAAGTCAGGGCGTACATCGAGCAATATTCAGAAGGCGATGGGATTGTCCGAGAGCGACGGCGTTTACGTAAGTTTTGAGTTCATGTTTTTTTCGGAATCCGGAATTCTGGTCGTTCTAGTATTCTCGAGACTGACATTTTTCAGTATCGCTAGTTTGCAAAATCCATATTTCGCCTGCAGTCGTCGTGTGGTTTGCTTTCTGTTTGCTGACCGTCGTTGTAACAAACATGTTTAACCCCTATTGAAATATGTACCGATGTAATACACGAATGAGCTACCTACCTATACTTGTTGACATAAGCGTTTCTAGATTAATTCATCGGTAGGGGCAACCTAGCTAATGATCACCGCTACCTTATTAGTGAACCAAAAAAGGCCCAATATACCCGAAGCCATATTTTTCAAGCCCCCCAGGGTCATCATAGATTCTTCATAGTTAAATTTTATTAGGTAAACAATATGAATTAAATACAGTTTGCTGGACACAGTTTTTTAATTATACATTACTTAAAATTAAAACAATAATAATATTTTGTTATTTAATCAATTTATAACAATTAAAAATTTTGTTTGATACATTATTTACATTAATATACAATTATTGATATTTTTACCATAAATTGAAAATCCAATTGATGTGCCACCTAATATTTAATTTTATTTACTCTCGATATTAAATTATAAAAATTTATAAAATGGCACTCTCTCGGCCAACTGGCAATAATTTAATAAATAAAACATTATAATATTCCCTGGTGACAAAAACATGGGAAAGCATTTTTATTATACACTTTAATGATTTAAATAATTAGACTCATAAAATAGAAAACTATCCTAAATGAACTCTACAAGAAATATCTTATTATTATTTCTCAGAACATTATTAATTTCATTTTAATTATGATACCCAAAGTAACGTAAATTATTATTCCATTGGTACAAAACAAAAAAAAAAAATTTATAATATATTGAATACTGTTATAAATACCAATTGTATTACTTTAAAATATTATGTACCCCCTTATGT